CTGGGAGTCTAAATGAAATAATGGAAGCAGAATGATTTGCTCACTGCTTGACGAACAGCAGCATCTGGGGGTGGTGGTGGTGGAGGGTGGGGGAGGGCTCTTGTGAACAAGCAGCTACTCTTGCTGTTAACATAAACTCAGGCTGACTCTGAAAACATACCCCAAAAGGCTGGGAAGGACACATGCACGGGAAAAGTTTGTTTGGTAGGATCTCAGGCAGTGGTGCTCAACCTGTGTGTAGAAGAGACCCTTGAGGTGGTGTGTGTGTGTGGGGGGGGGGTGAAGGACTCTTTCTCAGGGGTCATCTAAGACCACCAAAAAACACAGATATTTACATTATGATTCATAACAGTAGCAAAAATATAGTTATGAAGTAGCAATGAAAGTAATTTTAATGTTGGTGAGGTCACTGTAACATGAGGAACATGTTTTATAGAGTCACAGCATAGCAAAATTGAGAACCACTGTTTAAGGGAAGAAGGAAGTCCATGGAGAGAAGCTTTGGCAACTGGATTTCTGGAACACTGTTTTGTGCTGTGTGACCTTGCCTAAGTAGCCTCAGACTCACAGAGATCCTCCTGCCTCTGCCTCCCAAGTGCTAGGAGTAAAGGTGCATACCACCATGGTAGGTAATTTCTACATTTTTTTTTTATCTAGGTCTGAGATTTTAGATTTCTTTCTAAGTCATGTGCAAAGTATATTAGGTAAATATATATAAATATATAGTTAGGAAGATAATGAAAACATATAGTATTTTAGAGTATGTGGGCTGGAGGTGGGCTGCCTCTGTCCTGCTTGACAGGGAGCAAAGACTGTGCTCTATAGGTTATCCCAAGGGAAATATATAGCCAATCCTTCATTTTCTGAACACTGGCATTTCCTTGGACTCCTCCTGTAGGCTGTCCCCAGAGTCATCATCTACAGTGTCTCCCTTAGGTACCCTGAGCTTGGTGCTATGGTTGGATTTCCACCTTGCATCTATCTATCTATCTATCTATCTATCTATCTATCTATCTATCTATCTATATTTTTTGTTACATTTATTTAATATTTTTTCTTATTTTACATATTGATCCCAGTTTCCTCTCCCTCCCATCCTCTCATGACTCCCCTACAGATCCCCTCATCCCAACCCCCATCCACTCCCCAGGGAGGATGAGGCCTTCCATGAGAAATCATCAAAGTCTGTCAAGTCATTCGGGGTAGGGCTAGGCCCTACCCCTTGTGTGTCTCAAGGCTAAGGGAGTATCCCTCCATGGAGAATGGGCTACCCAAGTCTGTTCCTGCACTAGGGATACATCCTGGTTCTATTGTCAGAGGTACCATAGATTTCCCAGGCCTCCTAACTGAGATCCACATTCAGGGGGTCTGAGTCGGTCCTATGCTGGTTTCCCAGCTATCAGTCTGGGGTCCATGAGCTCCCCACTATTTAGTTTTATTTATGTGTGTATATGATTGTATCCTGTCTTACAGAGCTTGCTTAATTCCATAAGCAGGTGGTCCAGCCCCTGATTTGTTTTAATTAATCAACCAATCAGCTAATATGCCCGTGTAGAGGCTGTAGGTTAACCTCAGGCATTGTTCCTTAGGTGCAATCTACTTTTATTGATTGATTGATTGATTTTTGGCTGAGGGCTCACTGACTAGGTTCTACTGGCTGGGCTCCAGGGACCTGCTTGTCCCCACTTCCCCCACACTGAGATGTGTGTGCTAACATGTCCAGTTTTTAATGTGGGCTTTGAGGGTCTGAATTCAGGCCCTCATGTTTGTGTGGCAAGCACTTTTACCAGCTGAGCTACGGTCTTCCCAGCTCAGTCTTCCTTTAAATGCACACCACACCTTGACCCTGTCAAGACAAGTTTCTTTGCAAGAGGACAGATTTTGGTCCCTTTGCCCCAAGAAGAGTTCAGTGATTTTTGCAAGTCAACAACAGGAAGAACAGGTCCAGTGTTTGTAAATGTTGAGGACCATGAAACAGCTGGGCTCGGTGAGTAGTGCATCTGCTTTGGCTTGTTTATTTAACAGATTGATTGAGTTTCTGCAGCTGCATTGCAGTGTTGGCTGCTGAGGTTGGGCACTTCAGGATACCGGACAAGAATTCAGCGGTCCGTGAACTCCCAGTACGGTCCTGGGAGGGACAAATAAATAGACTGGTACAATGATAAGTATGACTGGGAACGGTACCAGAGTAGAGACCTGAGACTTCAATGAGGGGCTCCTTGAGGTGCTTGGCTGGCTTTGAACTTGCTATGTAGCCAACTTGCTATGCCTCCATCTCCTGATTTCTGGAAATAGAGGCATGATCGGGCACACATGTGGTACTGGTGGGGGCATCAAATCCAGGCCTTCATCCTACATGCTAGGTAGGCACTGCACCAATTAAATTGTATCCTTAGGCCCACATTCAAAGTTTTCTACTCCTAAAGATAGCCATGGTGTAATTGTAGAAAACAAAGACAATATTTCCTACTATAATTTTTGAGTGTTCATATTTCAAATCAGTGTCTTTGTGTTGCACTCTGTTGGAATGTTTGATTTTGAAAATTGCTATTTAGACTGCTGACTTGAGTTTCATTAAAAAAATGATTAAATGTGTTTTGGTTTGGGATTAGGGCAGAATTTCCAACAATTTCTGAAAATGTCTTAAACACACATCTGCCATTTTTGTACTATGTATTGGTGTAATGCATATTGACAACTTTTGGCACTGATGGCTATGAATCACAATACTGACCAACTCTGGAAAATGCTGACAGTGCCTTGTATTCTATAGTGTCAAGTATCTGGTCAGAATTAAATTTTGGGGGCTGGGAAAGAGTGATTCCTGTGCAAGCACAGGGACCTAAGTTAAAATCCCCAGCATTTAAATAAAATTCTGAGCAATGAAAGGCTGGTGTGGTGGCTCACACTTTTAGTCCAAGCACTTAAAGGCAGAAGTAGCCAGATCTCTGTGAGTTCAAGGCCATCCTGGACTACATAGGAAGTTCACAGTAGGAACCTGCTTTTTCATTTTCTTTTCTTTCTCTGTTTTAAGCTAAGCAAGACTATGAGCATTTATACCTCTAGCATTGAAGGGGAAGAGACATGAGGATTCCAGGAGTTTCCTGGCCACCCAGCCTATCCCAAATGGCAAGCTTCCTGTTTATCAAGAGACTCTATCTCAAGCAATAAAGAGATATGGAAGAGAGAGAAGATACCCAATGTTCTCTTCTGCAGTTGCACACTCATGATCATGCCCACCCACACACTCACATGTACTACACACACACACACACACAGAGGCACACACACATACAGAGGCATAGGCACATGCACATACCCAAAATTTTAATTTACTCATGTAAAAGCAAACTAAGTATATCTGTTACTTTAGTATAAACACTTGCTTTGTCTTTAATAATGGTAAAATTACATACATATTAAATAATTGTTTTAAGATGAATTTCTGTATGATTATAAGTAAATATCTAATTTGTGTACTTTTTTATATACTTATATACTTGGGGTCATTAAAATTTATTGGGCATGAAGGGGTTCTATGTTGTTGTCAGTGTGTTGGGGACATGAGGTGTCAGTGTGTGGGTGCTGGGGGAGCTGAATCTCACTCTAGCTACAAGTCGATACCAGGATGCTTTTTGTTTTGTTTTTGTTTTTGTATTTTATTCTTACAAGCTAGATCACTCCCTCCATATGAGTACAACTGATTTATGTTTTATTTTGAGTGGCTAAGAAAAACTCTTAAACTGTCATTTCACACATTTGGAATTCCTAATATCATATCTACTTTTCATAGAAATGTGAAAGATGGAGCAATGCTGGCAGAATAAAACTTAAAAAAATTACCTATAAGTCTATGAGTCAGAAATGATCACTACTATCATTTACCAATCTTTGCCTTGTGTTTTTCTCTCCTAGAGCAATTGCTTGATTTAAATTTTTTTACTATAGAATTTTAAAAACATAGTAAAAAGAGAGCAAACAACAGAGCATCATTTCATTATTGATAACCAGTGTGCTCCTCCATTCTCTGGGTAAATCTGAAAGTGATTAGCAGGTTTTCACTTTTATAGATTTGTTTTTGAGACTGGGCCTTACTATGGAGCCCAGACTAGCGTTTAAGTCCCTGCCTCAGCTTCTTGAGGATTACAGCCTGCTGTCATTACAGGTGCATACTTCTACAGCAGAACATATTTTCCTTTAATCTAGACACGCTGTGGTGTGTGTGTGTGTGTGTGTGTGTGTGTGTGTGTGTGTGTGTGTGTGAGTGTGTGTAGGCCAGAGGTCAACCTGGGTGTTGTTTAGGAGCCATCCAACTTATTCTTGAGATTGAGTCTTTCTCAAGAACCTGGTGCTCTCCATTAGGCTAGTCTGGCTGGCCAGCCTGCCCCAGGCATCTATCTGCCTGACTCCACTCTCTGCCCTCACTAGTGCTGGGATTAAAAGTTTATGTCACCATACCATCTATATTTTTTTTTTTTTTGCATTAAGTGGATTCTAGGGATTGAACTCAGGTCTTCCTGCTTGAATGTCGAACACTTCAATGACTGATCCACCTCCTGAGCCTTGATGTTTAATTTTTAAAACATCTTTTTTTTGTAATTTTGTTGTTATTGTTTTGAGACAGGCTCTGGATGGCCTTGAACTCACTCTATAGACTAGGCTAGCCTCAAACTCATAGAGTCTCCTGCCTCTGCCTCCTGAGCCTGGGATTGTTGGCATGTACCACCATACACAGCCTCCACTCTGACATTTTCATACACACAGATGTGAGGGACTTCAATCATACTTCTCTCCTATTATACTTTATAGTTTCGCTCTTGTAGTTCTGAATGTTTGTCCTGTGCTAACTTGGTTAGCAGCTTAACTCTCTTCAGATGTTAAACCTTTACCCAAAACATCAAATTGGGCAGGAAAAAAAAACTATTTGAGCCTCCAGGAGACCCAACAAAAACACCCAATTCTGTGCCTTCTTGGGGGGAGGAAATGCAGTGTAGAGGAGAAACATTCCCAGGGCAGAGACATCTACTGCAGGAACAGTGTTTGCTATAACATACTCACCATGGTTGTCTCAGCAATGGAGCCAAAGCTGTTGATGAAGATGTTGCAACTCACATTCACAGGGGGACCTGCCAATCAAGAGAGTCCCATTGAGTCTTAGGCTGCAGAGAAACTAACTTCAAGGGTAGACCTCCCTATAGGGCCAAGGAGCCCCCTGCTTGTTATCCACCCCACCCCCAAGTGCCTGGAATCCTCAGCTTGCATTTAGCATCTCTGCCAGACTAGACTCCCCAGTTTCCAGGTGAGGGGCAGGTATACTGCAGAGCAGGCTGAGCCAAGCTGTGCATTCATTAACACAGGGTGATTCATCATTCTGCCATCTGGCTAAAATCCCTTCCCCAAGCCCCATCGGTGCCTTCTAATCTGTGTCTGAGATATATTTATGGCTACAACATTTGGAGGCCATCTCAGGAATTGCGAGGGGCAGCAAATTCTTTGCCTTGAACTTGTGAACTGAGAATGAAGGGGTGATGATGGGAATTACCAGGTGAGGGATCTGGAGGGAGCCTGATGGACAGTCAACAAGCCTTTGTTAAATACTTTCTGGACAAGTGGTTTTTCTTTTTTAGCCCTGTTCTGTCCAGAAAAGAAGGGAAGGAATGCCACTGCCTTGGTACTTGTTTCTGGGGGCCACTCAGCTGAAGCTAGGGCCCTTCATTTCACATTCTGTAAATGGCAGAAGTTACCAGCCTCTGAGTTGCTTCAGTGAGACCTTGACTGTCATGGTCTCACTGTGTCCTCCCAATGGCTCTGTGAGAAGGCTGGTTATCACCCACATTGTGCAGAGTAGGAAACTGAGGGTCAGAGAGGCCAAATTATTCATTTATGGCCTCACTGCTAGAGAATGATGGAGCTAGGGTCCCAGTTCTGATTTGTCTAATTCTTAACAGCTGGTTGATAGGGAAGAAGAAGCAGGGTCAGATAGCCAGGGGCAGAATGTGTGTGTGTACGTGCACAGATGGAGGTCAGATAACACCACCAACTATGTCAAAGCCTATGGGGGGCATTTCTCATTTAAACCACCACAATAGGCTAGGCTAGCTGGCTATCAAGCTCCAAGGACCCACTTGCCTCTACCTCCTAGCATTAGAATGATGTGATTGTTTTCATCCAGGTGCTGGGGATTGAACTCAGGTCCTCAAGCTTGCAAGGTAAGTACTTTACCAATTTAGTTATTTACTCAGCTTTCCCCACCCCCTTTATGGCACAAGTCCTGTAGTGCTACACGACGACAAGCTGAAGTGGAACTACAGTGATCCTTTGCCTCTCCCTTCTGAGGGCTGGGATTTCCAGGCATGTTCTATCATGTCTGGAAGAATCTAGAAGATGGAATGGGGTTTCCATATAAGCAATTGTAAAACAGCTAGAGAAAGGCATAGCACCAGGAGCAAAGAGGGCTCAAAAAAAGAAAGTTCAGCTGAGAAAGGGTCTGAGGACAAAGACAGGAAAACCTCAGAGAGGAGTTGACCTTGGTCTGACCTGGAAGGTGCTTGGGACTCAGATAGGTCTTAGACCTTCACTTGAAGGGTTATAACTGTGAGTGCCTCCAGGACTTATCTCTTGTTGATTCCAGGAGATGCACCAAGAGCATAATTGTCCTCACTTCTCAAAGGAGCACAGAGGGTTTTAGTCACTTATCTGGGCTCACTGGATAGAAGGCAGTAGAGCCAAGACTTGAATCAAAGTTTTCTGATTGTGGAAAGAAGAGAGTAGACAGCTTTATGTCCTCTGGTACCCAGTCCATCATGTCCATCTTCAAAAGGTAGTCCAAAGCTTGCACATAAACTTAGCTAAGATTCTTTCTCTTGGAAGGTTTGATGGATAGGAGGAAGCTTTCTCTTGGGGTGAGAATCCAGGTCTCCCCTCAAGGCAGTAAGTGTCAACCTCTGAGGTATGCATACAACTCCAGCCTCACCTGCTCTTGGGGCAAGGAACAGACTCTTCTATTTTCTGAATCTCAGTCCTCCCAACAGTTTAGAGGGAAGGCTGGACATTGTTATTAATATTATTATTAATTATCATCATTATCCTTCTCCTCATCCACCTCCTCCTCATCTTCTTTCTTCTTCTTTTTTTTTTTGGAATCAAATTCATTCAAAGCTGGTCTAGAGGAATATTAAGGAAATCTCTATCTCAAATAGCCATCTTTGAGGGCTCAGGGAGTATCAAGAACTTTTAGGGATACAAGGGTTTTTGTAAGACAGTGGGTAGGAAATCCCACAGGTGGCTGAGTGTTTCTCATTAAAGGGCCTTCCTCCTCCTTCTCCTCCTTTCTCCTGAGCATGAAACTCAGGACCTAGCCCATGTTAGGCAAGAACTCTACCACTGAGCTGCCCCCCCCATCTCCCCAATTTTTTCTTGAAAGTCAGTCTGCCTCTGACCTCCTGGGACATCTGTATTTCCTTTTCAGATGAACCAGTTCATAAGAAGAAGAAAAGGCAGTGTGTGTGTGTGTGTGTGTGTGTGTGTGTGTGTGTGTACATTCCAGAGAATATTATGTGTAAAGTACAATTAAAGGATAAGGAAAGGGTGGTAATGCGAGGGGCAGGGGACAGCCTGAGTGAGGCAGAAACTGGTGAGGGAAACTGGGTGGCCAGTTTTAGCTCTTGATGGTTTGGCATCCTCTCAGGGAAGCTAGCCTATAGTCTAGATTATGAGCTAGTGGGGCTGGGGTACTTTGCATCACTTCACCAATTACTTTCCAGAATTAGGTGTGGCTGAGGCCATCTGAAAAATTTTAATGGCAGAGCCCGAGAATTGTTGTGGCCCATGCCTGTCATCTTAACACCCTAGAGGCTGGCTGATACAGGAAGGCCAGAAATCTGAGGTCAGCATGGGCTCCAGAGCAAGACTCCTGTCTCAAAAAAACAAAAAAAAAACAAACAAAAAAAAAAAAAACCCAAAACCAAACCAAAACAGAACAAAAATTGCAGGGCCCTTGGCTCAGACCTTAGCGGTGACTCTTAGCACAAGGCCTATTGTCTAACAAGCCACCTGGGTGATTGGAATGCATAGCTAGGTTTGGGGGTTGCTGGGAAGGATCACCCCCTTCAGAATCCAGTGCCTCCATCATGGATAATTCTGCATATTAAAAGTATTGTTTGCCTATGCTGGGCAACAATTACTGCTTTGTTAAGGTCACATAAACAGATGCTTATTTGCCTTATTCATTTAGCCCCAGATCCAGGTTTTTCTTTTTATTTAGCCTCGTATCATTTAGATGCCCCAAAGAGTTACTGCTCGTGCCTTGAGGTGATGCACACAGGGCCTGTGTGCATCTGGCGCTGTGACTTCCATATAAATGAGATGCTGATGTATGAGTGTGAGAGGGCACCAGCCAAAAAGACCCCATGGGGAGGTTTGGTTTGTGGATATAAATCTGAAATTAAATTATCTTGAGAAAATTACAATCCAGTTGCCATTGGCAGCAGGATAATGTATATATTTCATTAAATATTAAAGTTTAATTTTGCTTTTGTGTATGTGTTTGCATTGGGCTATGCTGCTGACCCTGGAAGCTACTGCAGCACACAGAGCCTTAGCTGAGGCAAAGCCTCAGAGCTGGGAAGGTCTGGTCCTTCTCTTTGCATCTCTCTTTGGATGCTAAGACAGAGGCTCGGGCCCACGAAGGGATCTCTCAGGGCCGGGGGTGGGGGGAGTAGAGTGGCAGAACATAGGCTGGATAAGTAGTCTTAGTGCTATTTACATCCATATTAGAGTGTAAACTGACTTTGGACTCCTCAGACCAAGTGTCTGTAGTCCTTAGCCACCTCAGACTTCAGGCTGGTAGAAGCAAGTTGCTCATGTTGTACAGGCAAGCTGCAGAAGGAATAGCTACTGAGGCTTCAAACTGTGTGTGTGTGTGTGTGTGTGTGTGTGTGTGTGTCTGGGGGGGGGGCTTTGAAGTCTGAGCTGCAAGGCCATTTAAGGAAAGCTGGGGTTTTCCTGGGCTTTGGAAGTCTTGTTTGAGGAGGTGGGGTACAGTAGGCTTACCTTTCTGCTTTAGTCTTAAAGGGGAGGAGCAACGCCCTACTCCTAGCTCCTGGGTGAGAGCTGCACCTGAGATGACCTTGCTGCTAGCCAGGCATGGGCTGAAGGGGGAGCGAGTGGGGAGGAGGAAGATGTCTAAGAGATTATGTAGTCCTGTAGATTTAGGACTGAGGCAGGAGGATCTTGACTTTGACTCAGCTTGGGCTACATAAGCTTTTAGAGGGCCTTCTGTGTGTGAAGTATGGTGGCATGCACAAAGAATAGTCCTTGAACCTCAGCGTTAACTCTTTAGAGCATCTGTATAGTATGAGGCTCAATAAAAAGAAAAACCTTGGTCTGGGGCTCAGTGAAGGAGGAAAATAAGCCCCTGTTTAGGTGCTATCAAATCATAGCATTTGACAAAATGGATCCTTGAGGTACAGGACGTTGATATGGCGAAGTTCTGAAAGAGTCCACCAGGGGGCGTTGTAGACAGAATTCCTAAAAACAGGAGCTAGGGGCAATTAGAGCAGCCTTGGTGGCTAAGGTCCATAGCCTACTCTACCAGAATTGGTTTGGCTTAGCCAATGGTGTTATCAAAAGATGTTATTTAGTGTCAGTTTCAGAGATTTTGACATAGAACCTCAAACTTAAGTCCTGTCTTGGAGGACCTTACTGACCACCATTTTCATTCCTTTCTGGAATCCCTGGGCAGGAACTGAGGAAGACCGGACCTTGCAGGGACTCTGGTTTTCTACATTTTACTTATTTATTTGGATAAAGAGAAAACAGAAGGGGAGGTAGAAGTTGGGTGTCTCTGACTATTGCTCTAAACTTTATCTTTTGAGACAGGGCCTCTCACAGAACCCAGATCTCATCAGAGGGATGCTGGGGGGCCAGAGATCTGCCTGTGTCTATATTACTGGTGTTAGTGTTAAAGTCATGTGTGGACATGCCTGGCTTTTACATCAGTGTCAGAGATCTGAACAGCAGATACTTTTAACTCATTGAACTGTCTCTCTAGCCCCTGAGTTCTCTGTATTTTTCTTATCTTCATCTTTTTCTACCCTTGAATATAATATCTGCTTGATTCTGCTTCAGACATTTGAGATTTTAACTTGGGGAAGAATTCCAGTCAACTGTACTATCAAAGAGAACCAAGGTGTGCTAGCTAGTTTTATGCCAACTTGACACAAGCTAGAGACATTTGGTGACCTCAGTTGAGAAAATGCCCTCACCACATTGGCCTACAATGTATTTTCCTAATAAGTCATTGATGTAGGTGGACCCAGCCCATTGTAGGTGATACTTCCTTTGGAAGGTAGTTCTGGGATGCATAAGAAAGCAAACTGAGCAATCCAGTAAGCAGCATCCCTCCATGGCCTCTACATCAGTTTCTGTCTCTAGGTTCCTTCCTGGTGTTCCTGTCCAACTTCCCTCAGGGACTATGATGTGGAAGTGTAAGGTAAACCAAATTCCTTTTCCTTCAATTTTTTTGTTATAGTATTTACTTGGCAACAGAGATGCCAAGAAGCAAGGCTGTGCTAATGATGATGAGGGCCAGTGAAGGAGCTGGTAGGGAAACAAGGCTAAGAGGTGGGCATCCACACAAACTCCCAGGTGTCTCCCAGATTGCTTTCTGTCTGCAGAGAATTGTGGACAAAATGGTTAGAAAAGGGCTATAGGGAATGGGATGAATGTGTGTGTGTGTGTGTGTGTGTGTGTGTGTGTGTGTGTGTGTGTAGGCAATATAAGAGCAATCAGAGGAGGGGGTGTGGGAAATGGAATGGGGGACATGTGGAGGCACCCAGTAGGTAACTTTTCCCAGATGTCAAATCCATCTTTGCTCTTGGACTTGAGCCACAGGAGTGTCAAGAAGAAACACCAAGAACCGAGAATTGATCTTACTATTATTGGCTCTTAGAATAAAAATTTTACAGAGTGCTGTGTAGTAGATGTGGGTGCACAGGAACCTAAGAGGTTCTTAAGGCCATTTCTGCAGATTCAGGTCACTTAAGAGAGTATTCAAAGGTGTTAGAGAACATAGAGACCTGGTCTCCTCTTGTTAGTGGTACTAAGGTCCCAATGGGACTATGAATGCAGAGAACTTTGTCTAACTGCCTGGATCAGCATGTGTACTTTGGCAGTGATGGACCCTGAACATGTTTTGTTTGAATTTACATGATTTAGAAATTAGGAATTTCTTGTAGGGCTCAGTTTTGGGTCTTCATGGACTATTGGTTCATCTGGCCATGTGGGGCCCACATTCCCACCTACATGCTGGGGGCATCTTCATTTACAGGATCCCGTAACTCTTTTTATCCACTGTCTCTACCTGGGAGTGTCTGACCTTTGGCTGGGAGGACCCATCCTGAATGTGGGCAGCCCCATGCCATGGGCTTCCATCCTTGACTGAACAAAGAGGAGAAAGGGAGATGAACCCCAGAGACCAGCCCTGCTGCAGGGTCTTCACCGCCAAATGGACTGTGTCTTTCCAGACTGTGAGCCAAAACAACCCTTCCTTCCTCAGGTTGCTTTGTGTCTCAACAAGAAGGGAAATCAGAACTCTCTCCCAGCTTCAGTAGGCATGTGAAATAGTGAGTCTCATTTAGATGAGGAACTTGCAGAATTGTTTACTAGCCTCCTACAGCTGGATTTGAGGAGGACAAATGGAAGTGGTGCTCCTTGGGTCAAGGCTGGGGTGGACCCAGTTCTCACCCATGTCTTCTTCTCAGAGCTCCTGGTGGAAACCTAAAACCCCAAGAACCCTGCCTCATGACTGTACATGCAGCCACGCTTGCATTGCAGAAATGTGAAAACTGAGACCCAGACAAAGGGAGTGGCTTGTCCCAGCTCATAGAGGAAGCTGGTGCTTCAGCCAAAATTTGACCCACATTCCTTGTTTTACTGCCTATGACACTAGATATAGTAAAATAGACCTTAATTCACTTACTGACTCCCAGAAAGCAGATATACTATTGAACTGAATTCTCTGAGGCTCTGTCTGGACTTGGGAAAAGAGATTGCATTGATTAGCAATGTCTGCCTTGGGCGAAGAAGGAAATGTGTGTGTGTGTGTGTGTGTGTGTGTGTGGGGTCACAGCCTGTGCATACCATGGGAGAACATTTCCTGTGATTCTGAAAGAAATGTTTTCCTACCTTTAAAGTTGGGCCTGATCCTGGCATCATACCCAGAAGTTCTCCCCATGAGCTTATCCAGGAAGTCTGAGGGTGACATAGGCTTGGGTGCAGAGCGGGCAGCTTCAGCCTCCTTGGAAGCAGCAAGGCTAAGAAGAGAGAGAGAAACACAAGGTTGATGGTGGCTCTTCTCCATACTCTGATCAGACACCAGCCTTGTCTATCCATGTGAGACCCTGGGAGTGCTTTGAGTTTGAGCTGGTCATTAAGATGGTCTTTAATAGGAAGACACAGGCCATACTGTTTACGCAGCTCCAGTGGAAGCCAGCCTGGAGCCTGGCAGACAGCCAGTGTCTGACAGCTTGAGAACTCTTGGGCTCCTCACGGTGTCTGCAGTCATGAGTCATCACAGTGACTGCTGGGTCTCCTTGGGAGAGGAGGCCAAGGGGTTGGGTCTGTGTCTCCCTTGAGGAGGAGTGTGAGGGGTCAGTCTGGCTGGCTCAGCTCTGCTTTGGGTACCTGTGCTCTCACAGGTACATGGGCAGTGAAAGGATCTCAGAGGTAACACAACCATTTCCTTTCAAGTTCTCCTCAGAATCCTCCATTGTAAAAACAAACAAATAGATGAATAAAAGTTGCTACAGTCAAGTGCGTATGGAAATACAAATTCAACCACTGACCTTTTACAGGCTTATATACTTATGCACATAGGTGCCTACATTACAAAACAAGTGTTTTAGAAATCCGCCATTAGAAACTGGAGGTGGTTCTCTTCTGTAATCTCAGTACTCCAGAGGTTGAGGCAAAAGGATTGCTGAAGTTTGAAGCCATCCTATGTTACATAGTAAACACTACCCTCCCCCCCATCAAATAAAAAATTTGACTTCATGGATGTTTTTCTTGCTGAGCACTTCTCTTTTTCTTAGCCCTGTGCTTAAAGTCTATACCAAAATATCTTCAGTAACTTACAGCACTGCTTATAAAAAGGGAGCAGGGTAGGCAAAGTTGAGGCATGGTAGTGGAAGCTTGGAAACCAAGTGTCTGGTGGTGCTCCAAGGTATTGCTGTTAGGTCTCTTTTCCCTAATAAGGTAGATTAGTAATGTCTAAGCAAAGTCCCAAATGTGCCCAGATTTCAATACGAGTCACAGTTGGAGGCCTAAGGGTTGAAGAGCAATCATTTGGGTTGCTTTGGGTCCCTAAGAGACCTGAAGTCTACAGCTATGCTCAGATAGAGGAATCCATGTGCTGTCCTGACAGAAGCATGTGGGTCTTCAAAAATGGGGTGTGTGTGTACATACTTGTGAGCACACACTCATGATAGCCCTGTGTACCCCAAGGGTCCATACTGAACTTGACTCATTCTGTGCTTGTCTTCTTTCTTGAACCTTTGTCTTCATTGATGGGGACTGACCCCTGGGATCCGGTACACATTAGGTAGGCATTCCATCACTGACCGATTCATGACTTTCCCTCGCCCAACTCCTTCTCTATTGGCATCCTTGCTAATTGTCTAATGATCTGCTGTAATGGCTAGTGTTCATCTCTGTACTTCACCATGTCAGGGCATGTCCCTTTTCCTTCATGTCCTGCTGCAGCCCAAGTTTACCCACTGAATTCCAGGCCGCTGCTTCCTTTCCAACTCTACCACTATCCATGCTACCTAGGACTCCCAGTCAGTGTCTCCTGTGTCCCCATCTTCTCTCCCTCACTCACCATGTCCTGTTAAGCCATGAGACAGCTGTTATACATTTATTTACAGGGTTGTGTTTCTTGTCTCAGCTTCCTGTATGACAGGATCCCAGATGTACATTACACTGACTTTAAACATTTTTAATTACATCTATCTATCTACCTATCTATCTATCTATGGCATGTGTGTATGTATGTGAATACATATATGCATGATAGTCTGAGGACAACTCGAAGGAATATATATATATATATATATATATATATATATATATATATATATTTATGTCCACCTTGTGGGTCCTGGGGATCAAACTCAGGCTATCACTCCTGATGGCAAAGCACCTTTACCCAGTGAACCACTTGCTAGTCTCAACTGTTTGTTTTTGAAGCTGTATCTGTTTATATCCAAGGGCAAAGATCATATAATTTTCTTTTATTTATTCCCTATTCTATAATACCCCAAGTGTCTCAAACTTAATTGGTGTTCAGCCATTGTGTGATGACTGAATGATGAGTGAGACATTTATTAATTAATCAAATATACCTGCTAATAGGAAGTGTTTGTAAATATTGGTACATGGGTTAACAATTTAAAAATAATTAAACCATTATACACAGTAATAAAAACACAGACACAGTCTGGTGTTTCTTAGGAGATTTGTAAGGTATGTTGGGATTTCCTGGATATCCTTGCTCAGGCTCTGAAAATGCCCTATTTAGATCTCAAGGAGCTGTACTGGACTGATGAAGGACATAGCCATTGTATGTGGCTACTGGTGCAGCTGGGGTCCTGTGATGGGATGATCTTCTGCAAATATTGTTGGTAGTGTCATGTATCCCAAAGGAGGGCATGTAACAGCTGTGCACAGAGACTAGAGTGTGAATATGGAGCAGATAATGTGTCAGAGATTGTTGTGTGCAAACATGAGAGTGCCTGTATCTGTGTCAGGTCAAGGTCATTTATAATTGAGTGGGGTGCAGTGTGTTCAGGGATGGGTAAATGTTGACAACTATTTATGTATTTACTATACAAGTTTGTTTTGCTGTGCATTGTAACATAGAGTGTAGCAATGGCTCCCATTGGTGCTGCCTGTATCATCCCAGTAGGGAGAGGAAAGAACTGAGGGAGAGCCACAGAGGAACACTGCTTGCTCCCATGTCTTGCTCAGTTTGCTTTCTTATATACTCCAGGACCATGGCCTGGGGGGGGGGCACAGCCTATCATGCACTGGACCTTCCATATCAATCATTAAACAAGGATCATCCCATAGGTTTGCTTACAGGCCAATCTGTCGGAGGCAATACCTCAAGTGGGATTCTCTCTTACTGAGTGATTCTAGGTTGGGTCAAGTTGACAATGAAACCTAACCAGGATAAGGACCATATCAGTCACTACAATGTAAAGGGAGAGCTTTATACACCGGCACCTCTGCTGCTTGCCAGTGTCCACAGTCTGAGGTTGTCCTCACCAATCAGGGAAGAGCTGTGTTGGAAGCATTATAGATACACTCAGACTTAGCAATGACTGTCTCGGAGGCGATGAGAGCAGCTGAGAGAAAACTGATTCAATAATGATTCAAGCTGGGGATGGTGGCACGTCCCTACAGCCTCAGGACTTGAGTGGATGAGGCAGGGGGTTTGTTACAAGTTTGGGTCCAGTTTGGGATACTCAGTGAGATCCCTTCTGAAAAAAAAAAAAAAAAGAATGGGGCTAGAGCTGGCTCAATAGTTAAAGCATTTTACTGCTCTATCAGAGAATCCAAGTTCAGATAGTAACACCCACATCAGGTGGCTCACAACTGCCTGTAACTCCAGCTCCTAGGGATCCAACACCCTCTCCTGGCCTCTGTGGACACACTGGACACAAGTACAAGTGAAATAAATCTTGAAAATATGCTTCCCCACAGAAAAAAATTAGACGCAAGCAAACAAACCAACAAACATTAAATTCAACATTATTGTGTATGTTCAACAACAGCATCCAAATCTCCAAGTCTTCCTAATATTCCTCAGAAACAAAGGTTCCATCTTGATGCCAAAGTGGCCATTTCCCTGCATCTGACAATTCTCATCCATTCTCCCTCTGTTTGGACAGTGCAATTTGCATAGGATTATTTTAAGCCTCTTCCCTATCTTCAATGGATCTGTGCTCTGGGCATCTGTGGACAATAAACTCACTGCATTTGGAGTCATTGCCCCTGGGGGCTTTACAGATGCTGAATGAGTCTGGAAATGAGGCACCTGGCCACTTATAAGTACTAGGAAGCAAGGTAAATTACTTCACTTAAAAAATTATTTTAGATTTTGTGTATGTGTGCATATCTCTCTCTCTCTCTCTCTCTCTGTGTGTGTGTGTGTGTGTGAGAGAGAGAGAGAGAGAGAAAGAGAGAGAGAGAGAGAGACAGAGCGCTTCTGTAAGGCAAAAGAAACAATCAACAAGACAAAATAGCAGCCCACAGAATGGGAAAAGATCTTCACCAACCCCACATCTGACAGAGGGCTTATTTCCAAAATATATAAAGAACTCAAGAAGCTAGTCACCAAAGCACCAAATAATCCAATTAAAAAGTGGGGTACAGAACTAAATAGAGAATTCTCAATAGAGGAATCTAAAATGACTGAAAGACCATTAAGAAAGACCCTTAGCCATCAGGGAAATGAAAATCAAAACAACTCTGAGATAACCATCTTACTCTGGTCAGAATGGCTAAAATGAAAAACACCAATGACAGTTTATGCTGGCGAGGATGTGGAGAAAGGAGTACACTCCCCCACTGCTGGTGGGAGTGCAAATTCATACAGCCACTTTAGAAATCAGTATGGTGGTTCCTCAGAAAAATGGGAATCAGTCTACCACAAGATCTAGCAATTCTCCTCTTAGGCATATACCCAAAAGGTACACATTCATGCAACAAAGACATCTGTTCAACTATGTTCATAGAAGCATTATTTGTAATAGCAAGAACCTGGAAGCAACCTAGGTACCCCTCAACTGAAGAATGGATAAAGACAATGTGGTACATTTACACATTGGAGTACTACTCAGTGGGGAAAAAAAACAATGGAATCTTGAAATTTGAAGGAAAATATGGATTTGCCTTCATATATGGATTTTAGACATAGAGCAAAGGGTCAACAGCCTACAATCCACACCGCCAAAGAAGCGAGGAAACAAGGAGGACCCCAAGAGAGACATATATGGTCCCCCAGAGAGGGAAAAGGGACAAGATCCCCCAAGCAAATTGGGAGCAGTGAGGGAGAGGGAGTTAGGAGAAAGAGATGGGGAGAAGAGGAGGGGAGAGAAGAACATGAGGGAGCAGGAAGATTGAGTCGGGGGAAGAATAGAGGAGAGCAAGAAAAAGAGATACCATAATAGAGGGAGCCATTATAGGTTTAAAGAGAAATCTGGCACTAGGGAAATATCCAGAGACCTACAAGGATGACCCCAACTAACAA